TAGCTAAGTCATAATTATGAGATAGTATGTCATAATTATGAGATAGCTAAGTCATAATAATGAGATAGTATGTCATAATTATGAGATAGTATCTCATAATTATGAGATAGTATCTCATTATGAGATACTAAGTCATAATAATGAGATAGCCAAGTCATAATAATGAGATAGTATCTCATTATGAGATACTATCTCATTATTATGACTTAGTATCTCATTATGAGATACTAAGTCATAATAATGAGATAGCCAAGTCATAATAATGAGATAGTATCTCATTATGAGATACTAAGTCATAATAATGAGATAGCCAAGTCATAATAATGAGATAGTATGTCATAACAATGAGATAGCTAAGTCATAATAATGAGATAGTATGTCATAATTATGAGATAGCTAAGTCATAATTATGAAATAGCTAAGTCATAATTATGAGATAGCTAAGTCATAATGAGATACAAGTTTTATTTTTCATCAGGGTGGCGGAAATGGGTTTCCATACATACGTTTTTATAAAACAATGTTTTAGAGTTTTAATATGTACTCACTCAGCCGTCAGTATTCTGTTTAACGTTGTCAGTCTGTTGCAGCCGGCGGAGGTCTCAACCCTTTATTAATATGTACAACTTCCAGGGAGACGACTCGGATTTATTCCGCCCCCAGTCACAGAAAACCAGTCGGACCACTGAGGGGCGGGGAGAAACCACACGGATGCAAGGAACACCTGACTCAAACCAAGCCCCGAGGACTTGTTTAGAGACGACAGGTAATCCGAGGCCGACGGAGCTCCAGAAGTTGAGTTTTTTTTTCACGTTTGCTTCGTCCAGTTAAAAGTGTGTATTTGGATTTGTTGTCATTTTACACTAATTAAGAATCTGGCTGCCGGTTTGTCCCTTCAAGGTAACCAGGCCTGGTTTGATGTTTATGTTTTACTGGAGGCCTCAGGAACCATCTGTCTCAGGTTTCTCTCCCCTCCAGTTAGTTTTTCCCTGGCAGTGAATTTAATGTGACGACTCCGTTAACAGCTTTGTGCGTCTGGGAATAATTAAGTACGACATCCGGTCATTTTATTGCATGTCTCAGTCTTAAAAACATCCTTTTTTTTTTCAATTTCAATAAATATACAGGAACAAGGTGAGAGTTTGTGTTTCATAAAATCATGGAAAACAAGTAAAAAAAAAACAAAAACAGTTAATCTTTTTTCAAGTTCAGATGAAGTATAGATTTATAATACACGACTGGTTCAGCTCCAGTGGTTTGACTGAAGTACCATGCAGGGTGGTTTTGGATGTACCGGACTGCATCCATTTAGTAAGTGATGCTGTAAAAGCTGCAGATATTGTACCTATTTGACCAAAAAATAATAAATCTTTCTTTGAGCAAAGCAAAGCCAAGGTAGAACCAACGTGGTGACGATAAAAAATGGTATCTGACGTGAGAAGCTTCTACTTACAACCCCAATTCTAAAAATGTTATGGTTTGCTAAATAAATAATAAAAAAACGGTGCAGATCTTACGCACCTGTTCTTTATCAAATGTTGAAACTAAAGATCGTACCACAGGGTTTGATTTTGTTCTGGACATGAGCTCAGGAACATTTCCACGAATCCTACATGGTGTCATCCACAACTGTTGGTTAAAGCTCTATCATTCAAACGATAAGCCGTGTGTGACCACCGTCCAGGAAGTGGAGCTGACCCTGGGCCAAAGGTCACTTAAGATGGATTAAAACAAAAGCTCTGTGATTGGGCCAAAAAAAAGTTAACCTTTTTGGGAACCACAGCCCTCCATACTAAAGAAGAGACGTCATCTGGCCGGCCTCGCTGCTGGTATGGGGGCGCATTAACGTCTATGACGTGGTATTTTCAGCCTTTGTTAAAATATCGTCGATGCAGAACAGTATGTACAGATTTGTAGCCAGATGACGTCTTTTACAGGAAGTTCTTATAATTTCATTAAGACAACACTAAACCACAAACTGCTTTCAGTCTACCATGAAGCACCGAAGGGTCTGAGTGCTGAACTGGCCCACCTAAAGGTCCAAACCTCCCACCAAGCAAAAACATTTGACACGTGGTTAGATCAAAAGGTCCAGCAAAGACCCTGTCCTGCTGAACAACCAGTGGAACAAGCTGGTTTTCAGCTCCTGGATGTTTGTTAAAAGCAGGAAACGTGGCACAGTCCCGACTTTTTTAGGACGTTTTGCTGCTAACAAATTCCAATTAACCTCATTTCCCTTTAAAATAGTACAGTTTTGTAGTTTTGCATCTGACGATTGTGAAAACATGGGTTTATGAATGATTGCGTTGTTTTTATTAACATTTCGCACCAAGTCCCAGCGTTTTCCAGAACTGGGCTGGTGCACGGACAACAAGAACCGGTCTGGACCTGTCAGATCCTGTTCTGCCGAGCTGCATCGGGAGCATCAAATGAGAAATCTGAAGAATCCGTGAGCTCCGGGTGGTGCCGCAGCTAACAAAAACACAATTAGCTTGAAGCGCGGAGAGTTTTTCAGATTAAAGGAGCCAAACATCTTACGTGTTGTCGACTGTCTCCTGACGTGGACCGTTAACTTCCAGGAACACTGGCAGGCTGCCTGGCAACTGCTCAAGAGCTTAGAAATGTTTCTGACCCGATGCGTCACCCCTCCTATAAAGAGACGCATTAATTAGTAAGATTTAAATGTGCCACTAGGTGGTTTTTTTTTTAAGCTTCTGACAGAGCCAGACTACTTCCTGATCTCCCACCGTCTAGTTGCTGTGCTTTTACATTTATTAACCCCGTTTAAACAGAAAACAAACAGGCGTATTCGTCAAACGTCAGTCTTTTCTTTAGGTTTTCAACTGCTGAAAACGTTTAGTGAAATCTGGCAGAAAAGCCTTTGTTGATTTTGGCAGCTGCTTCTTCACGTTGGGCTCCAGATTGTGTAAAAGCCGAACACGACGACAGAGCGACGGCTGGTTTTATTGACAGATTGGAGGCATTTTTGGTGATGTCTGAAGTGAATTCCCTCTGGAGCATGAATTAATGATTGGGCCGAGCAGTTTAACTCTGATTTCCCCTCAAGGCAGAGGTTTGAGAAATGTTTCACTTCCACACAGCTTTACACATTTGATCACCGTTAAACAAAACATGAAAAAATAAAAAAAATAAAACAAGTTCAATAAAATACGACTGACCGTCAGTGCTGTCGTCACATGGTTGTATAAGAAGGTTAGTTTGTAACTAATTCATGTCAGATAAAATTCTTGTCACTTATTCAGCTGCATGATCAGAGTTCAGCTCTAACATTGTTTCTGTACACGGTGTAAAACTGCCTCCTGTCATTAGAAGCAGGTCTGAGGTGCAAATGACTTCTGTAGCTAGTGGTTGATGACGAAACATGATTGAAAGGAGCGACGTCCACTGAAAAGGTTCCTTTCAGCTTCCGGCTCTTTTAAGTTTTCATCAAATTCGCCAGAGGCGACCAAAACCTGGTCTTTCTGCCTCTTTGTGCGTTTCTCCTACGGTCGAAGAGGAGTTCCCCCTCCTTCGATCCTCCCAGCTCCTCTCCGCCGAGACTCTGAGCCCGACTCTAGATGAATTTGAAGCACTTGGTCTTATCGTGGGGCAGACGGGTCTTGAACAGCACGGAGTCCACGCGGAACTGCGTGTACAGCAGCGGCATGTAGCCGTACACCTTCACGAAGAAGTTGATGCACTTGTGGCGCTCGTGGAAGTGCGAGTCGTCGTGCGACAGAGCCTGAGGGCAGCCGGGGCAGCGGAAAGTCCAACGGGAGGTCACCTGGAAGAAACGGTACGTTTAAATAAACTCAATGCTATACAACCAACTAAATACTAGTGATGTATTTTGAATGGTCTTTTTTTATCTGTTTTTCACGATTCCATACTTTTTTCCTCAGAACTGTGATTCCATATATTTTTCCTCAGAATTGAGTGATTCCATATATTTCCTCATAAATGAGTGATTCCATATATTTCCTCAAAATTGAGTGATTCCATATATTTTTCCTCAAAACTGAGTGATTCCATATATTTCCCTCATAATTGAGTGATTCCATATATTTTTCCTCAAAACTGAGTGATTCCATATATTTTTCCTCAAAACTGAGTGATTCCATATATTTTTCCTCAGAATTGAGTGATTCCATATATTTTTCCCTCAGAATTGAGTGATTCCATATATTTTTCCCACAGAATTGAGTGTTTCCATAAATTTTCCCTCAGAATTGAGTGTTTCCATATTTTTTCCCTCAGAATTGAGTGTTTCCATATATTTTCCCACAGAATTGAGTGATTCCATATATTTTCCCACAGAATTGAGTGATTCCATATATTTTCCCTCAGAATTGAGTGATTCTATATATTTTCCCTCAGAATTGAGTGTTTCCATATATTTTCCCTCAGAATTGTGTGTTTCCATAAATTTTCGCTCAGAATTTAGTGATTCCATATATTTTCCCTCAGAATTGATTTCCTCAGAATTGAGTGATTCCATATATTTTCCTCAGAACTGAGTGATTCCATATATCTTCCTCAGAACTGAGTGATTCCATATATTTTCCTCAAAATTGAGTGATTCCACATATTTTCCCTCAATTGATTTCCTCAGAATTGAGTGATTCCATATATTTTCCTCAGAATTGAGTGATTCCATATATTTTCCTCAGAATTAAGTGATTCCATTTATTTTTCCTCAGAATTGAGTGATTCCATATATTTTTTTCCCTGTGCTTGGACAATAAAAGTAACATTCCCAGACTTCCACAATGTTTTCTCTTCATTTCTTTCAGTGTTCATTAAAGCCAACAAGTTTCACTTTGGAATGACCGTATTATTGCATCATGTTTTTTATCTGAGTTTGTTTTACTGAAAGAAATGTCTGAATGAGTGCTCATCCAAGACTGGTCATTCCATACTTTTTGCCAGGGGTTGTAGAAAAAAAAAAAGTATGGAGCCGTGTTTTAAATGTCCGTTTCGAACCACTTTTGCAAAATTCTCCTTTCAGAGCAGACCCATTACAGAATCAGCTTGAGACGGCGTTTCAAACACACAAAGAAAACAAATGTTAGCTAATCAACCAGCCAACAGCTGAAATCTGACAAAGCACCGAAGCATAAAACAGCCGTGTCTGTCTGGGAATGAGGGAGTCTGCTTTTTTTTTTTCTTTAAATTAGTGTGGTGCTGTTTTAACATGACCGTGATAAATCTGTCGCTGTGCAAATGTTCTATAACTACATGAAGATAAGCTGAAACTAAATGTGAATAATGGTAATTTCTCACCAGCTATCTGTAAAAAGAAACTCCTTTTCTTTCTTCTTTTTTCGTTCTTTTAATTTGTCATATTAAGTCTAAGAGAGAGAGGTTTATTCTCTAACTGATTAAAACTACAGACTTGGGTCTAATTCATTATTCACAAGGCCTCCTCTCAGTGAAGTGCTGCCTTGCAACAAACCCTCCACCTATTCCCCGCTGAACACCCGCCCTGAACATTAGACAGAGCTTAAAGCGAGAGCCGCCGTGACATTTCCAATAGCTCCCGGCGCTTGATTGCTAAAATTTTTTGTTCAGACATAAATATGCTCTCCAGTGATAAATGTCCTTCCAATAAAAATCCAGGAGAAAACTCAGGCGTAACGCACCGTTTCGATTGTGTGCTTTTGATTTATAATTTGTGTGTGGGGATATTGGATTTGCTGGTTTGAGTAATGGCAAGGCTAAGTAGGGGAAAAACAGAGAACTGAAGCACACGGATTCTCTGAAGCTGACCTTGATGGGTGGTTTGCGGGTGATGTGAGAGACCAAGAAGTTCATGGCGATGTCCTCGCAGTTTATGTACTCGTCCACCATGTCCCTGATGGCCTGGGGCATCACGTAGGAGTACAGGTACGCATAGTACTACGAGAAGGAAAAAAAATTAAATTAAATAAAGAGGTGGTATTCCCTGCTAACATCCAGTGCAAATGCTTATTGTTGAAAGACGTCTGCTGAAAATGCTCAACAGAAAAACTTAATGTGAGACCGGCCATTTCCTGAAAGTAGGGGAAAAAGAAAACAAGTGAAAAATCAAATAAAAGCAAAAGTGTGTCGAAAAAGCTGAACAGAGAAGAAACAATATGGATTTAGCAGACAGAAGGTAAAAGGATACTTTAGCTCAGGGGTTCTTAACCTTTTTGACCTCGGGGCCCAATTTGTTGAACATAAAGTGACACGAGGCCCAGTCAGACATTACCAATGTATGGATCAAAATGATAATTATTCTAAAGCTTGCTTTAATTTTTATTGTATTTACATTATAACTAAATTAAATACACTTACATTTTAAAAGTAAACCTCCTGTCAAATAATCACAACACATGATTACAACAAACATTTTTATATTGTAACCTGCCCATAACAATTATTTGAACAAATACAAACAGATATATATATATATATAT